TATACTACCTTGTTATAGTTGGGCAATAACACTATAAAAAACTTGCGTACCCGCGCGCATAATCCATTGATTCTATTCAACAACTCGTCTTGTGTATGAACATTGGGGCCAGAGTGAAAAGTGTGCTGTGTACAATATGTGGTCGTTGGCACGACGCAAATCATCCACGCCATCATGAAAACATAGTAAAATCGGCTGATGAAAAGGCATACAACACATATTATTGGTTCATAAGCTTCAACTCAAAAGTACTAAACACCTAGAATACAAGATCGAACTCGAGCAGTGCAGTACATCGCAGTTACTGGAGGGTTTTTGACTCAGAGTCATCATCATAGTAATTGGCGGATAATGCATTAGGTATTACTTGATCTCCACCGAGATATCTTTGCAACTCGAATATCGACATGACGTCGTACACTGCTTGCTCATTCCAATGACCTGGCGTTATATCCTCTGCTGCAGGGACAGGGGGTATGGTACCAAAGATCATGCGCGCAACTTTGACCTGAAAGGAGTTATACTTCAGTGCGTGTCTAGGGTCGTGAGGATGCCCTTTTCACCTGTTCGAGATATTCGGAAACATTCGGCGGACGGAACTTGGGTTCATGCTCGAGCATAACCTCAATAGATCCGTATTTATCCATGAGGCGCCATGCCGTGGTTGGGCCGATGCCTCCGAGCCGCCTAACGAAGTCGGTACCCATCAAAATCGCGGTATCCACAAAGGCGGCGCGCGATAAGCCCAAGCTTGTCTCTACTGAGGGCGGAATAATTTGCAGAGGTACTTTTTGGTTCGTCATGCCCCGCAATAAGGGAGCGTTGTACATCAGTACATCCTGCGATCGACCAAAGGGATAAATGGGCGAACAAGGTAAAAGCGGAAGAACGCACTGTGTCTTCACTCCCAACAAAATCGGCCAGCCCGTTTAGCACAAGGCTACATGCCAAGGCTTCGGCTTCGTATGGGAGAGAACTTTCAATGCACGGGATACCCATTGCTTCGAGAATTAGGCGCGATTCCGCATAAGTTAGGGAAGTTGGGGGGTTCGCACGGCGCGCGAATGAGGCAGCCATGAGACCAGATTGTTCTTCCAGTTTGGCTGAGCGTTCACTGATAGGTGGCTCTGCTTCCTCCTCCGGGGTGATTTCGTCGCTAGGAATTTCGTCCTTGGGTAACTCCACCGACGCAAATTGCTCAACCATCTCTACAACCTGAGCTAGATCTACAGCTGGGCTGTCAGATGGTGTAACGAGCTGATTCCATAATTTTGCCTCTTCCTGAGTGTATTTCAGCTGCACTTTGGATATAGGTATTGCTGGCGTATCTTGGACGTCGGTCATCATCCCCAGAGCGGGTATCGTCCCGTCAGGGCCTAAAGCAGTGGTACGGTTATAATGGTCGAGAAGATCGAGGATCTTGTGAGTGAGCGCCTTGCTGTCTTCATGTTGCAGAGAATCCATTCTTAGCTTTGCCTGCAATGGTGATTAAAGGGGCATATAAGTTTAGCCTGGACTACTTACTTCTGCCCACTGAGGAGAAAGTCTGTCCTCCGTGTCGCCTAACTCGTCGGTGTTCTCTATGACTGATTCCACTGTAATAGTATCCAAGGGAGTACGAGATCGGTCACCAGGCTGGTTTTTGGAAGACTTGGACGGAGCCTCTGGAACACCCAATTTCAGTGTATCGCCTTCGGTGTCTGAGGATGATTTGTTGTCGGCATCATTAAGTTTACGAGTTACCGCAATCTGTTCGGCTAGCAGGGTGGCGGTTTGGGGTACCTTTTCACCAACAGAGTCTTCCAACCTATCCGTATAGATAGCATCACCAAGTGGTTGGGAGTCAGGACGCTTATTTCTGGCACCCCGCTCGCTCTCAGAAAGCCTGTCGATAGCTGAGGCCACCTGGTTTAGGAGCCCAGGTTCGGTACTACTAGCAGGATCGTGTCCAGGTGCCTGGTCAAGATTGGTGCCCTCGAGAAACGCTGGTCCACTAGCCAACGGGTTCGTACCCGCACTCGGCTCTTGTCCAAGATAAACAGTCGCATCCTCTTGACGGATATGAGTTAGACCAGGAGTGATTGCACCTGGCGGGTGCTCCTTTGGCAGGGGGAGAGACCGTGGGTCAACTTGCAAAGTTTTCAATACTTCTTGTTGACGATCAACCGACAGGTCCTCCAACCCACGCAATGTCTGGGTTAGGGACAACAACCTCTCGTGGCGGGACTTTTCCCAAGCGCCGCGGGCCTGAGCTTGCACTCTGAGCAACCTCCGACGTTCGACCTAATGTTAATGATACATGGTAATTCTTGTTTCTTCGGAACCCAAGTCTTACCTCATCCCGTTTTGCAGGTATCCGCTTCTTCCCGTCAAAAACGCATATGACATTGATTTTGTTTTGGCGCAATTCCTGGATAAGTTGGTACCATCCCAAAACATGGCGATGTGGCCGAGAGTCAGGCGCATAGAACAAGCGTTGTGTGACCAATGTCCCGTCTCTTTAAATTCGCATAAGGCGTGATTTTGAGGCTAATCTGTGCCACTTACATCGCGATTGTCTTGCCCTCGAGTGCCTGGAACCGGTTTGGGATGTTTTCTATCGCAGTCGGGCTGTAGATTCATCAGAAGGCTAGCCTGGGTTATATGTGCACAACACCTTACCATTTTTTCAATAGAAATGGGACGATGCCCAATACACCCATGCGTGACGGTGGAAGGTAAGTGCTGGCGATCGAAAAGAGGAGGCAAGAGTTCTGGCAGGGTTAAGCGCAACCGCCGGGCGTCAATTTGCGATCAGGGAACCTATATGCGGTCTGAACCTCTCAAACAAGCTCCTGTAGTCTAGTGGTTATGATACTTCGTTGTGGCTGTTGCTTACATAAGCATTACGTAATCACCGAAGCGGCCTGTGTTCAATTCACAGCAGGGGCATCTTTTGAATCCTTTTGTACGAGGTACCAAGAAACAAAAAACTCCAAGAAAATGACTAGGGATAGTGTCTACAAACTCTCAGGCCATACACCGAAGGAAACCGGTCTACCAAGAACATAAATGAGCTGCCTTACGAAACACAGATCATCGCTACAAGATGTGGAATAAATAATGGCATGTGTAGATGAGTAAAGCAGGATGCTATCCCAAATCATTAACACCCACTCAATTAGCCCCACTTGACCACTCACCAAGATATCGACCTCAGGCAATCACACACTCGCGGCCCAGATCACCATCAGGGGGACTGGGATGAAATGACATTGGGTTCATGTCTAGAAAAGCGGTGCGTGCTATATTTTCGTCGAGTTGATATACAGCCAATGGGCCCTGGTCGGATCGCCCAACGTATCCCACCATCAACTTGTGAGGTACTTGGCGGGTTACAACCTCAAACTCGTCGTATGAGGGCGTACTTGCTTGCTCGAGAAAGGCTCGATATTCGAAAATCAAGGTAGACTTATTGCCTTCAAATGTCTGAGTGCTAGCAACCAACCAACAAAGCCAAACTTACTACCAAGCAATGACTCGATAAACGGACGGAAGACATCTACCAGCAGAGGCCTATCTGGATATCGCTTCGCAATCCGGTATTGCTGCCTATAGAGGTTATTGGGATCATGTGGTCGTTGCGCAGGTTTGAAGAGTCTATCTGCAACAATATCACCCGTCATGGGGTCTCGAAGAAAAGAAAGGCGGGTGCTCGGTGTGGGAAAAGTGTCCGTCGGAGAGTTCGGGTTGGACGCTACACTGTAGATCCGGACTTCGATAAAGCCGTCAAAGAGCGTCTCCTTCATGAAATGACGGAAGAGCTCTTCGAACGAGGTAAACGAAGTGGCCAGATCTAGCCGGTATAGCATACGCCTGTAGTCTTTCATAGACTCAGAATCCTGAGTTTTCCGAGAATTTGAGGGGGGCATACAGGGCAGAGACACTCTGGTTAGTGCCAGCGACCCACCCTTAAAAGCTTTGGGACTCACCGCCCTCGGTTCATTTTCAGGACGCATGCTATCTACGAACTAGGTCAAGGGATTGGCGATGACTGTCCGGACACGCCACGCATATACCGGTTGAATCCCTTGATATAATACGCAGAGAGGCTGGAAAGAGTCGTGGAAGAGAACAAAAGTCATTATTCGGCTCCGAGTAAACGGAGAGGGGCGACTGTCAACAGACACGATGAGGTCACGTGTCGTCAGTACGGAGACTAAAAACTGCGGCGGAGCCACAATACAAGCGTCTGTGCCACACCTAGTTGATATTCGAACTCTCGATTTCTTCTTCTTCGGACAAGTTGGTTATGCCGCATCAATTCGAGCGCATACACAGAAATATTATATTGAGTGGCACGGATAATATTCATTATATTGTCAACCTTCGATCAATTCAGGGCTAGCGCTACATTTGCCGCCCATATAAAAGATTCATGAGCCTTTGTAATCGAGTGATAGCTTGATCTATATGTCATTAACCCACCTTGATCATTGCAAAAAGGCTGGATACAGGTGTCAATTGAATTTCCAACATTGGACTTCCACCCGAGGTTGCCTCAATAAAAACAGATAGGCGAATATTGGGCCTACATACCCTCCTGTTCCAATTGTACTTGGTGCTTGCTGTTCGGTTAAAAGTGAGATTCTCATATAAATCTACCCCGTGCGATCAGGCGGAACGAGGTGATCCAATGCCTCAAGTCCATGTGCGCTAAAACTCTTAAAGTATGGCTCTACAGCCTCGAACATCACGTCCAGCGTATTTTCTACAGCATGTTCTTTCATCCTCCCGGGGTTGCGCTGTATGCGCTAGAATTCTCGGGCTTTGGCTTGATCACGTGGGCCACTGCATAGCAATGATGTAATGATCAATCGCCGCAGTCCAAGAACAGACCATCCTTGCGTGGCGGCTTGGTAGCCTTGCACTGTACGTACTTGCCTTTCTAGTGTCTAAACATATAACCGACAATCTGCAGGTTCATCACACTCACTTATTTTCTGAATATAATACGATTTTTACCCGTTGGACGATCACTGATCTTACCGCGAGGACTAGAGCCGCGTGTCAGCCAAGTCAATACGATCCAACGACTGGGGCGCTTGGATTTACCATCACATTTCGCCTGGAGACTTTTTTAGACTTGTGAGCCATGATGGTGTGTGAATCAATTTAATCCGGTTTTGCCCACACGTCCCGACTGCGGGCGTCGACTCTACCGTGCTGTCATTGACTTTATATGTCCGCTACATTTCTTCGTAATAGAAATCGATCGATCGCAGACAAGATCCTACTACAATAGCCGCGGGTACCACACAAACATCAGGGCCCACAAGTCAATCCCAAAGCCCCGAAGAGACCACACCTCGCACATCTAATTCACCATCACAAACGACACCAACCGCCCCGTCCACCCAGGATTCGACACCGACCTCCACCCGGGCCACGCCAACGACTACTAATGAGCCTACGACGACACGGTATGTCACTACGGGCTATCTTTCCTTGGCCAATCATCAACAAGAGCTTGCTCTCACAGGCAAACGTCAACCTCAATCCCTCCGACTACCACATCAAGGGCCGAAACATCCGGGCTACAAACTTCCACTTCTTCCGAAACATCTGCCTCGCCTACAAACCAGAGCACGACGCCCTCTGCCACTACTCAAAGTGAGGTTACCAGTCAAAGTGAGACATCCAGTACTTTATCACCAGCCACGTCTTCCGCATCCCCCACTGTCTCTTCCACGCCAACAAGCACATCTTTGTCAAATATATCATCCACTGTATCCGTAACCTCAAACCCCTCTTCGTCAGCATCCGAGACCCAAACTTCGTCACCCACGTCGATTTCCTCGCTCGTTGATCCGAGCACGTCGCCGACATCTACTCCAATTATAACAACTTCCATTTCAGGTAGCGATACCTCTGATTCACCGACGCCAACACGCACTCCGACACCCACCCCTACACCCACAAGTTCGACCACTCCGGTCCGAGAATCTAGGTCGTCTGACTCCGCGTCATCGACTTTGACAAGCGTTCTTATAACCACTGTAGCAACTGTCAATGGTCAACCCACAACGGCAAGTTGCATTTCATTGTGCCTGTTTATCCTACGAACCTTACAGATAAAATTTCAGCTTACAACCGTTGTCCCGACCCTTGCAAGTTCACCACCAGGACCATCGGGGCTCTCGGCTCGAAGTTCTAAAATAGTCGGAGGTGTTGTTGGCGGGACACTAGCTTTGCTGGGTGTTCTCCTTGCCTTGTTTTACATCAGTAGACGCCGGAGAAAAGCTGCGGCGGTCAGGGATGCTCCTCGCCTTCAGGCTCCACGACAAATGCTCGACGCCGATGATTTTGACCTTGCTGAGCCTGGCCCTGCTCCGTATGCGTACGGAATGGTTGGCGCCTATGTGAACCCCAATGCAAGCGGTAGTATTTTTCACGAAGTACTTCCTGGGACGAGTACACAGCCCTCTCATTCCTACTCGCGGAGTGTCGTTAGCGAAAATGACCCATTGCTGGTGCATCATATGCGCGGAGGGTCAGCGGACGTTGATAGTGTTGCGACTTCGTCTCCCCGCGAATCAACCCATTTCCGTGCATCATCCACAACGGGACTCCTTTATGACCCCAATGATCCTTTCGGGGACCATCCTCCCCGATCAGTCGGGCCCAGTTCTTCACGATCACACCCACTTGCGGTGGCCAAGGCGCTGGAAGCGAGGTCCCGAGGCTCCGATCAGCACGTCTACCCACCCTCAGCGTACCGCGGCCCGACCGAGCCTTCTGATCCATCGTCTACATCATCTCCCGTCTTGGTTCACCAGGACGCGGGACGAGTTGATCCACCGGACTCGTCGGCCCCGCCGGCGTACGGTAAT